CAAATAACGATTGTTCGTGACCCGATGCTGGTATTTTGGTTATTACATCACGTGAACAATTTAAATAGATTTATTTTTATAAGACCACATTTATTTTTGAGCTACAAAACTCGTGGCCCCTAGCTGCGGCCTACTCAGCCCACACCCCTAAATCCGCCACTGGATGTAAGTGTATGTTCTCATGCTGGTTCTATCTTTTAATGCGGGTTCGTTTTTTTCTCTACAAAACTTTTTTTATGCCTCTCTCCAATCGTGTTGATTTTCAATGCTTCTCTCTAGATAGTTTTTTATGCCTCTCTCTAGATGGTTTTCTATGCCTCTCTCTAAAAGGTTTTCTATGCCTCTCTCTAGATGGTTTTTTATGCCTCTCTCTAGATGGTTTTTTATGCCTCTCACCAATCTATTGGGCTTTGTAGACTTTTATATTTACGTGATTGTGGTTCCCGTATTTTTAGTTCAGCACAATTAAACTAAATCTTATATGAGTGTGTTTTTTAAAGTTCGACCTAACAAAATATCTTGAATACAATAATATCATTTCATCATTAAGTTTTCTTATAATTGTGCCCTTGATTGTATTGGCGATTGCCGTTGCCTTATGATTGTATCTGGTATGTTTGACATTGCCTTATGATTGTATCTGGTATGTTTAACAGAGTGATTGCCGTTGCCTTACCTCTGAAAGCCAGGACCATCTGCACGATGCGACACGCTAAACTGATGGTGGTCATCGTCTGGTGCTTGTCCTTCCTGCTGGCCATCCCTACAGCAGTCAGCGTGGTGAGTTGTAATACTTTAGCACCAGCTACAGCAACCCTTACAATACACCCTACAGTACACCCTATAGCACACCCTACAGCACACCCTACAGCATCCCTACAGCAGTCAGCGTGGTGAGTTGTAGTAGTTTAGCATCCACTACAGCACACCCTACAACATCCCTACAGCACACCCTACAACATCCCTACAGCACACCCTACAACATCCCTACAGCACACCCTACATCATCCCTACAGCACACCCTACATCATCCCTACAGCACACCCTACAACATCCCTACAGCACACACTACATCATCCCTACAGCACACCCTACATCATCCCTACAGCACACCCTACATCATCCCTACAGCACACCCTACATCATCCCTACAGCACACCCTACATCATCCCTACAGCACACCCTACATCATCCCTACAGCACACCCTACATCATCCCTACAGCACACCCTACAACATCCCTACAGCACACCCTACATCATCCCTACAGCACACCCTACAACATCCCTACAGCACACCCTACAACATCCCTACAGCACACCCTACATCATCCCTACAGCACACTCTACATCATCCCTACAGCACACCCTACATCATCCCTACAGCACACCCTACATCATCCCTACAGCACACCCTACATCATCCCTACAGCACACCCTACAACATCCCTACAGCACACCCTACATCATCCCTACAGCACACCCTACATCATCCCTACAGCACACCCTACAACATCCCTACAGCACACCCTACATCATCCCTACAGCACACCCTACAACATCCCTACAGCACACCCTACAACATCCCTACAGCACACCCTACAACATCCCTACAGCAGTCAGCGTGGTGAGTTTTAGTAGTTTAGCACCCACTACAGCACAACCTACTGACCCCCAACAGCACACCCTACAGCACACCACACAGCACACAATACATCACACAATACTGCACACCATACAGCACGCTAATCTCTGATTTCCGATACCATTTAAACATGAACAAATAAACATTCCATGCCCCCCACCCCGCATATCTCTGATGTCCTATACCACTGTAACATTCAACATGCACCATTCCAGAAACACATCGAGGTGGGGGAGAGGTTCAAGGCGTTCTGGTGCGTCAAAGAGTTCTCCAGCTTCCAGTTCCAAGCCTTCTACGAGCTGTACATGCTGGTGCTGCTATTTGTGGTGCCCATGTGCGTCATGATCGTGACCTACACCATCATCGGGGTCAAGGTCTGGAGGTTCACGGACATGAGGGCGGACATGAGACAAGGGAGGTGAGTAGACACGTCAACGGGAAACTTTCGAAAACATTTTCTCAATATATTCAATACCTGTTATCCTTTATAATATTAAATTAAATTAATTATTATATTAAATAAAATTAACTCCAAGGCTATTATGTTGTGTTTTTTTACTTGTTGATTTTATTTATATTACTGCTTTAAATACATTTATGGAGCTGATTTTTTTATATTTTTAAAATGAACCTTTTTCAGAGTGATCGCCCCTACATCGAAAGAACGCATCCATCAAAGCATGAGCAACCCAGAGAGTTGTCTCCTCTCACCACATTCGAACGGCGAGGGGAGACCATCTGTGCGCATTGAAAGGAAGAAAGATTTACAAGAAGACACTAAGACCACGAAACAGGTGCGATACAAACAACGTGTTGATAACAGAAAATGACTGATAACTGAATAGAGAAATGACTTTATTAGTTCTGATGCAGACTTTAACCCAAAACCTTTTTTTCTTGTCTGCCTTTTATAATATTTATAATTTTTTTTAAAAAAATAACTTTTGATATTCTATATATTCGATATTCGATAATAGTGATTCTTAACCTTTCAACAGTTTCATATGCATGCATTCACCGTATCCTTCATAATATTTTTATCATCCGCACTGGCAAAATCTGATCGTGAGTCATATGAATCGAGTGTGTGTCTTGACCTCTGCTGAACCCCTGAGACTGTCTTACCGAACCCCCGGGGTTCGATCGAACCCAGGTTAAGAACCATTGTTCTATAACAAATATTTTCTTTTTATCTGGCGAAGACATTTGTTCTTTTTTTTTTTTTTGTTGTTATTTTAAACTTGGCTATGGACATCCCAAAAAATTGGTTTATTTTTTAACCAGTTAAAAACTACCACTGAAATACCTTATAGATTATAAGCGATTAACAGTAAAATATCACATTTTTAATTTAATACCTTGTACAAATGTGTACTGCACGCAAAACAAGGCGTACACTGTGTTCTCAGTTTGATAGAATGGGAAATAACTCAGACTTTCACTAAATAACATTACATTTTCCTTCCCTTGTCATACGAAATTTTTATTTTTTCCCTGATAAAAAATACATTTAAAATTATATCATAGTAAAACAAAAAGTTAGAAAAAAAATAAAGCCTTAATTTCTAAAACATGTCTAGATTATAGAAAATCTCCCAATTAATGTCGGGTACTAGTTAATGCTGTGTACGCTAAAGCTGAATCAATAAATTTGGAATCATTGGCTACAAATAGGTCGTTTAATTAATGTTTTATAATACATGCACATGCAATGCTGGTGTTATTGCTGATGGTGTGGATCATTCAACACCCTCTAGTGTGCGGTGTAGTTATTTCAATCTAGTTTGCGCCATTACTATATGCGGAGGGCGATAAATTACACCTAAGCTTTATTCTTAGGGGTCATCTATAAATGAATTCACGTTTTTTTGGACGAGTTTTACCTCTCCTCCCCTCCGTCACACATCGTCACAAAAAGCAAGACCCCCCCCCCCCCACTAAAATGACGTCACACAGCCTACAACCCTCCTTAAATGCATGAGTGTGACGTCACACCATCTGAACCCCCCCTCCCCCTCATTACACACCGTCACAAAATTACGGAACCCCCCTCACCCCCCCCCCCTACGTGTGTGACGTCATTTATGGACGACATCTTATATCTGATGCCAAAGCTTTGCGATTGGGTCTTGTAGCATTTTATAATGTCAGTATCTAGTTGGTATTTGTGCTGATTACTGTGGTTTTAGCATTTAGCTGTTTGTTGCGGCCCGGTTAAAAGATTTTACATTCCTAGTTTGTGTTGATTCGCGATGTTAGCTATGTTAGCTATGTTAAAACCTTACGATCCTGTTGATCTAGTTGGTGTTGATACTTTATATTAAAACCTTACATTCCTGTTGATCTAGTTGATGTTGATACTCTATGTTAAAACCTTACATTCCTGTTGATCTAGTTGATGTTGATACTCTATGTTAAAACCTTACATTCCTGTTGATCTAGTTGGTGTTGATACTCTATAAAAAAAACCTTACATTCCTGTTGATCTAGTTGATGTTGATACTCTATGTTAAAACCTTACATTCCTGTTGATCTAGTTAATGTTGATACTCTATGTTAAAACCTTACATTCCTGTTGATCTTGTTGATGTTGATACTCTATGTTAAAACCTTACATTCCTGTTGATCTAGTTAATGTTGATACTCTATGTTAAAACCTTACATTCCTGTTGATCTAGTTAATGTTGATACTCTATGTTAAAACCTTACATTCCTGTTGATCTAGTTAATGTTGATACTCTATGTTAAAACCTTACATTCCTGTTGATCTAGTTGGTGTTGATACTTTATATTAAAACCTTACATTCCTGTTGATCTAGTTGGTGCTGATGCTCATTATCGTGGTTGTCCTCTTCGCCCTGTGCTGGGGTCCTATCCTGATCAACAATGTCCTTGTGGCCTTCAGACACCTGCCTGAGCTGCACTACGGTCACCTTAAACACCTGCGGGCCGCCTTCAACCTGATGTCTTACTTCAACAGGTAAGTTTTGTCTTACTGGCGGCTCCTAGACGGCTCATGGGTTTTAGTTCTTACTCTTTATTTTCACATTTTTAATTAAGGTCTGTAAAACTAAAGAGCTAATATAAAACTATGATATATATATATATATATATATATATATATATATATATATATATATATATATATATATATATATATATATATATATATATATATATATATATATATATGTACATATATATATATATTTGTATCGTGTGTCAAATATTTAACAAAAATAAATAAAAATGACAGAAGTTTTAATAAACCCAAAAAATAACCACACTTTACGTGTGTATGAAAAGAAAGCTTGTCTATTCATTTTTATTTGCATTTCTTATTTTCCATAATACTGTTTGTACAATTTTATAAACCAAAAGCAGCTCTGTTATCTTCACTTTATTTCCTTAGCTGCATCAACCCCATCGTCTACGCTTTCATGTCGAAGAACTTCCGGCAGTCTTTTAAATTCGCCATCTGCGCATGTCTGAAAGGGAAGGCGTTTGTCCGAGCCTACAGGTTCAGTGTGTCCATCGCTAGCACCAGGACCTCTACGATATCTAACGGACACTTACGTCGTGGGATCTCGGCCCACAGGTAGGCCCACCATTGTTACATGTTACAGACGGAGTGGCCCGCCTTCGTTACATGTCATTGAAAGCGCCCATCATTGTTTTGTTATGTCTTTGAAAGGGCCCATTATTGTTTTGTTATATGTCATTGAAAGGGCCCATCATTGTTTTGTTATATGTCATTGAAAGGGCCCATCATTGTTTTGTTATATGTCATTGAAAGGGCCCATCATTGTTTTGTTATATGTCTTTGAAAGGGCCCATCATTGTTTTGTTATATGTCATTGAAAGGGCCCATCATTGTTTTGTTATATGTCATTGAAAGGGCCCATCATTGTTTTGTTATATATCTTTAAAAGGGCCCATCATTGTTTTGTTATATGTCTTTGAAAGGGCCCATCATTGTTTTGTTATATGTCATTGAAAGGGCCCATCATTGTTTTGTTATATATCTTTAAAAGGGCCCATCATTGTTTTGTTATATGTCTTTGAAAGGGCCCATCATTATTTTGTTATATGTCATTGAAAGGGCCCATCATTTTTTTGTTATATATCTTTAAAAGGGCCCATCATTGTTTTGTTATATATCTTTAAAAGGACCCATCATTGTTTTGTTATATGTCTTTGAAAGGGCCCATCATTATTTTGTTATACGTCATAGATAGGGCCCATCATTGTTTTGTTACACTTCATAGACAAGTAAAGAAACCTCTTTAGACCTAACGATTCATTAGGCAGATGAAGTAGAGTCCATATGTTTCTTGACCTCGGCATATGAAGGAAAGGTGTGGTCGGCACTTTGCCCAGCCGCCTTAACTTTTCCTAACATGAGTTAGGGGCATTCTAATTACCCGGATTCAACCTCAAGACCTTCGGGTTAGCAGCCTAGCGCTCTATCTCTTAGACCACGCCGTCCCATCATAGACAGCATGGCCCTCTATTATTACATGTCTGTGTCAGTATTAGGACACACTGACTTTATAATCTCAGGTTCTAGCTGCAAATTTAATGGTCTCTGGAACTTTATTAAGTACAAAGATATATTAATCAGCTGACATTGTCTCAATCTTTGTTAACTTGCTGACCTTTTGTCACGAACATTAGTTAATTAGCTGACCTTTGTTTCGACCATTTGTTTACTAAGTGAACTTTGTCACGCCCTTTCTTTAATTAGCTGACCTTTGTCACTACCATCTGTCAACTAGCTGACCATTAATTAATTAACTAATTAATTAATTTTGTCTCCAGGGACAAGAGCAGCAGTAGCGGAAATGAGAACACACACACGCACGTGGTCACTGATGACGACATCGTGGAAATGAGGTCAATGACCCACCCTTTGGTTTAACAACCCCACTGACACCCACACACCACCCACACACCATATACCCCCACCCCCACCCCACTGACACCCACACACCATACACCCCCACCCCCACCCCACTAACACCCACACACCATACCCCCCCCCACACCCACCCCATGCCACATAATTGTTTTAAATTACGAATATTTAAATGTCAGTTACAAAAGTAAAAAAAAAAGAGTTTGTTCAACTCTGAGTAATGTAACAACTGTTGTAAACCAATTTCAACCCTTGACAAAAATGAAGTTTAATAAAACATTTTACTTGGACTATGTAAATATCATGTAAATATCATATAACTATCATGTAAATATTCACAGCAAATTATACTCATGAGAAAGCTACTTGCGATTCTTCACATCAGAAACCACTTAATGTTTTTAGCCTAAGTAGTAAGAAAAAGGAGAAAAACAAACTGTTTATTGTTAATTTTTGTACTTAACTCTACACTTAAGAAATCTATTTGTGATAGTTGATATCAAACCCTCTACAAATATTTATTTAATTAAAGATGCCATTAAAAAAATATGTTAAAAAGTGTTGGAAAATGTAGGCTAATAAATTGTATGTGGTCCTACACACTTGATATTAAAATTAACACCGACATTTATACATTTATAAAAGAAATCTCCTTTTTAATTAATAAATTATTACCTTATTTATGAAACTATTTAAGTTTGAAAATAATTAATAATAACTACGACTGTTGGCAATTTTTATCATCGCAATATTCTATTTTTAATTTTTGAATGTTTGTGTGACGAAGGTCCCGTTTTAAAACATTATTCGACCATGTTATAAATCATTCGACCCCCTTATAAAACATCATTCGAATACCATATAAATCAATATTCGACTATCTTATAAATCATTCAACCATCTTATAACATAATTCAGCCATTATTCATTTTGTTATCAAATGTACAAAAACATTTCACTTTAAACCATCACCCATATCATTCCATGTAAATTTGTGCACATATTATTTCGCAATGTGTATTTCATGGTTCGCATTATACCCAAATTATTCCATGTAAATTTGTTCATCTTACATCTCAATATGTATTCCCTGTTTGGCTTTCTCTTTATCGGCCCTACAAACATTGTCCTTCTTCGTCTTCAGGAGTTTCTTTCATGCATAATCTCCGGGGGCTGGAGGCGCCCCCCTGCCCCCACCCCTCCGCTCCTCCCTCCCCTCGAAACAAGTTCACAGTGTCCGCCCCTCCCCAACTTAGATTAAATAGACGAAAATATATAATTAAATAGAAAATACATTGTTTCACTTGTATTATGTTCCCTCTCCGGATATTTTAAGAGCCCCGGAGAAAAATGTCTGAAAGAAACATCGTCATAGGGATGCACATATTTTGTCTGATCATTGGATACACACATATTGTATGTACATTGGATCCACATATTTTGTTGTTTCAATAATGTTTTCTCATGTACGATGAATAAATGTAATTGTTATTGCAAAATCTGTTACCTTAACACCTAACCATAATTACACATACCTTTAAAATACCTTTGTCGAACGGCCACAAAGCAAATAAAATATTTGTTCCATTAAAAATATAATGGCAAAATTATATATATATATATATATATATATATATATATATATATATATATATATATATATATATATATATATATATATATATACATAATATATATATATATATATATATATATATATATATATATATATATATATATATATATATATATATATATATATATATATATATATATATATATATATATATATATTCCCCTCTTAGACCTAACGATCTATAGGTATGAAGGGATGGTGTGGTCACACGATGACCAGCCGCCTTTACTTTCATCTAGCGCCCGACCACGCCATCCCATGCATATTTATAAATCTGTCCATATTATATGTAAGTCAAGCCATCAAGTATCATTTTTGCCTCCATTTTCAATCATAATATTGACGAAATAGGTTTGATTTAAACTTAATTCAAATTAGAATTCACAGTTTAGTTAAGATGTATTCTTTTAAATATGCACACACGTTTAACAATATATATATATATATATATATATATATATATATATATATATATATATATATATATATTATGTATACAATAAAAATTATTTTTGAATTTACAGTGTGAATAGTTTGTACACAATTTCATGTTACATCTACGAATGCTTAAAATTATACTGGGCGTTTTGAGCAGAATAAAGTTGCAATTGCATTAAATAAACTCTATTTAAATTATTCTGTCTTGCTCATTGTATCGGATGTGTCAAATATTTGTGTTGTGAGTTCGATCTATTTTCATACTATAATCGGTGCAGGTATTACATACTCATACGTGCGTGAACACTCGCGCATACATAAATCCACCATCACACGTATTATATAAACATACATATAAACGCGTCTTATTCTTATGTTTTTCAAGATTTGCTTAAATTGTTATAACATTTTTTGTGTACGTTTTGATATATTGCGCTCAAGTCGTATATTGGAATGGAAGATCGTTCTTTATGTTTAGCCAAGTCTAGCAATCAACATATATATATATATATATATATAATATAATATAATATAATATAATATAATATAATATAATATAATATTATATATATATATATATATATATATATATATATATATATATATATATATATATATATATATACATGATTTTAAAGGGCCGTAAATTGCGTGCATTGAAATGATGCATAGTTATCGAACCTTCATGATTTACAAAGTTTCCTTGTTACTATTATTACGTATTACAGCTTGCTTTATTATTACTGCAAACTTTGAGTTAGTTCAAGTGGTAGTAGCTTATTATTTATTGTAATTAGTCTAATTAGGGTAGAGATGTGGCTTAGACCTTCTTTCTTGTTCAATTATATTTTACTGATTATAATCAGTTGCTATTGTTTGGACAAATTTTCTCTCTCTAGTTGAAGCAATGATCGATAAAGAAGCACACATTTTAGCAATGAATGCATTTACTAAAGTAAGCAATTTAAAAAGAAGTTCTGTGCATTTTAAATATTTTCTAAACTTTTTTTAAATAAAATAATTGTTTTAGTTAGTAATGACTAATTAATTACTTAAGACCATACAATACAGATCGTTCGACTGAATGCTTTTTCTCAACTAACAATCAGAACAGAATTCACCGGAATGTGGAAATAAACACAGGTAATGTGCTAAAGAAGTCGTTGTATACAAGGGGAGTAACTTTATTGCAGTGTTTCTTCTAGACTTTTTACTCCGGGGGGGGGGGGGGGGGCATTTGAAAGTTTCGGGGGGTGAGGGCGGTAGACTTTCTTCAGGGGGGGTGGACACTGTTAAATGTATATATTTTCTATATAAACTCCATTTCTTTTGGGGGGGGGGCGGTAGACTTTCTTCGGGGGTTTCTTCGGGGGACGGACACTGTTAAATGTATATATTTTCTATTTAAATTCCATTTCGTTCAAGCGGGGGGGGGGGGGGGGGTAGATGCCTGGAAGAAACTCTGCTTTATCGTCTCAAACAATCCAGCGCGATTGCTTCTTCCATAAAGGGAGAGTATTCTTAATCATTTACAATGTTTATAATCGGAAAGCACTGAGGAGGATTTTACATTTTTGTTATTTCCCATTAAGTGTTTTATATTACTCAAGGGAAACAACAATAATAAATTATTTAATTGGTAAAATAAAATAAAACTGCGTAACTAGTCGAATAATATACATGAACATGTGTAGTTGTAAACACATTACTATTTATTAATAATCATTATATATTAATAAATGTCTATGAATGAGCTGTTTTTAAAATAACATTATATAATTTTAATATATATTAAGCATACGAAGGGTTTTCGTATTTAATATATTTTTTGTATAAAAACTTAAATCTGATTTGCATTGCTATTCACATGCACGTTGTAATTGGTAGACCGAATTAAATAATTGTTATGGCTGTTTATTTACTTATTTTATTTTTGTAATTCCCTGTGTGATTTTGCTTCATACAACATATTTCCTACTTGCTTATTCCATTTTCATTTTCAATTTTGGAGTGGCGGAGTTACCTCGAAATATAATCAAGGAAACCTAATGCCCTATGACTGAGCCTGTAGCTGGAATTACAGCTATCCCAGATAAACAGAATGCTAGATATTTCCATGGAGTGCTTGCTAGCCCATCTCAGTCACCATATGAAGGTGGCTTATTCAAATTGGAGCTCTTTCTTCCTGAAGAATACACCACGTCAGTACCAAAAGTCCGATTTATGACAAAAATATCACCTAAAATTGACAAATTAGGAAGAATATGTCTAGGTATACTTAAAGGTAAATGGTGTCCAGTGTTGCAAATCCGAACAGTTTTACTTTCCATTCAGGATTTATTGAGTGCTCTTAATCCAGATGATCCTTTAGATAATAGTGTGGCTGAGCATATATATATGAATATATATATATATATATATATATATATATATATATATATATATATATATATATCCATATATATATATATATATATATATATATATATATATATATATATATATATATATATATATATATATATATAATATAGTAAAACATGTGGTATTATTATTTACAACCTGTTTAAATTACAGTGCAGTATGCTTCATTCTATTTTCCTGTACTCTAGTGAGTAACAAGAACAATACGAGATAATAGAACAAAGAAGTCCACTCACAGATGTGAATATGATGAAAAATACTACCTAGAGCGGAATATGATTACCGATTTGACACACAAAAAAATGAAACCGAAAAGTAAAAACAAAATTGCTGAACATTATAAACAGTTCCCAGAGTGGATTAAAAAAAACATGGTCATAATCCAGAAAATCAATTGCGTTGTGGTATTTGCTATATCAGGATCAGCACATAAACAAAGAAAATGATGATGATGATGAAGATGTTGATGATGATGTTTATAATGATGATGATGATGATGAAGATGAGGAGGATGATGATGATGATGATGATGATGATGATGATGGTGATGATGATGATAATGATGATGATGATGATGGTGATGATGATGGTGATGATGATGATAATGATGACGATGATGATGATGATGATGATAATGAACACTATCTTAGTCATACATTTAAAAAAATGAAAAGAAAAATCTTGTTTGAAATTTTTGTATTGTATAAAAATGGACAATTGTTGTTTTTTTTTAAATCATGTACATTAAAGTGACAAACATTGGAAATAACATAATCCAAACATGCAGAAATTTACTAGCTCTATAAGTGTTTTAAACAAAATATCTATTCTTCATCACCAAAACGCAGAAAGGATTGGACGATTGTGGCCAGATAAATATTTAAACATCGTGTAAAATGTATTGTTACTTGTGATCTTTGTCTTTGGTTTAAATGCAATGCGTGGGAAAAATAAAAAAAAAAACAAGTGAAGCTATAATTTTTTTAAAGTAAGAATAGACAAGAATTGTGAAAAATAGTTGACTCTTTTTAGCTAGCCGTACCCACTTTTTCCAAATGCGACGATGAAGATTACATTAAACTTAAAACCCTATGGATTAGGGTTAGTATTAGAAAATAATACTAATACTAACTTTCGACAAGCGGTGAATGTATGAGCTGAGCCAGGTTTAAGATTAGGTTTGGTGTTGAGATATCGCTCTCATAAGAATATGTAAATATTCGACGCTTACCTAGACGTTTCTATTCGAATCCAAGGATTTTAAGTTTGTATTTCAAATATCAATGCAGTATTAACATGTAAGTAAAATATCGGTACTAATATATATATATATATATATATATATATATATATATATATATATATATATATATATATATATATATATATACGTATTGTATATATATAAACAAAATCGTTTCTATTCGAATACACGGGTTTTATGATAAGTGTGTAGTTCAAATATTCACGCTGTATTAATATCTAAGTACCGTAATCGACAAGTAGATTAACATTTTCAAGTGAAGTGCGTGGATTTACATTTGTGCTTGGCACTATCTATCGAATAAATGAAAAAAAAGTTCCAGTGAGGTTTATGCAATAAGACATCAAAAACTTGTATAGCTTTTGGGCGAAAACTACAATCCGCTTATTACCGTCCTGAATTTGAGGAGACGCTAACAATATCATTGCATAGTCAATATGGATACTATTTTTATACATAGTATCGCTAATCGCCAATGACGACGAGTACTAATTATGCTCTAGATGAATCCGTAGAGGGTTAGGCTTGGTGTTAAAATATCGATACTGTACCAATATTCGTATCGTAATCAAACAAGACCAACAGTTTCAAGAATAATCCTTGATATAACACCAGTGTTCGGTGCTAAAATATCAATACTGTACAAATATATACGTATTGCAATCAACAAGTATTGAACAGTTTCAATATGAATCCATGGATTTAGGATTAGACTTGGTGATATAATATCGATTTGAATTTGTAAGAATCGTAACCTTGTAATCAGTAGCGTCAAATAGTTTCAAGAAGAATCCTTGGATTTCTTTCTTTCTGATTTCTCCCGATCTGTCCGCACCGAGTATACACTAACATCGGGAGAAAAATAATCGCGCGAATATGACGCATGCGCACTCCGTACATCTGACCACTTAGTCGCTGACTCGACCGTTTTATTGGATACTTGGGATGTTGAGTTCTGGCTTTTGGCTGCAGAAATATGGCTGGGTGCCCTGGAATGCCGACTGGACGCCACCGATCTGACCGAGGATGTTTCCTCGTGTATTGGGGGTTCCGTTAGTTTAGAGGCACTGCTTGGCTTTGTGCTTCGGGATGGTTCATTGGGGGTAGGCCTGGTTTCCAGTTTTGGGTCCCGGGATTGTTGATATTGTTTAAAGGTGTTGTCCGATTTTGGGTCCCGTTGTTGATTTTGTTTAGAGGTTTTGTCCGGATTAGCCCCTCGCGCTAGTTCTTTGAGGGTTGGCTTACCACCCGCTTTCGCGTTCCGGGATGTTTGCTTGAAGTTGTTGTCCGGTTTCTGAATTTCCGTTGTCCGTGTCGACATCCCACTGGCTGATGACTCCGCGCCAGACACAAGGGAATGACTCGCGTGTCTTGATGACGCAACGGAACCAACGACTGATGACGTCTTCACGGATTTGATTGACGTCCTTCTGGAACTGGCGACAGACGCCTGGCCTTTCTGACGCGACGCGGCTCTCCCGGCGTCTTGTGACGCAGCATCTTCAGTAGAAACCTGGATCTTTGTGTCCGATTCCTTATGCAATGACTCAAGCGACTGTGCCTTCTTCTTCCAGAATAGCGCATTCTGCTTCCATTTTTTTGTTTTCATCTTCGCCGCGTAGTGGTCGAAATACTTCCCTTTAGTCATCTTACCTTTTGACTTGTCGCTTAGCTTTCTTTTCAAATGTTTGGGGGAAGGTTCTACCGAAACTAGTTGTCGCTCATTTTCTATAACGTCCTTAATTTCCAGCGGGCGAGTTTTGTTTGTCGTTCTGACCACGTTCGTAGGTCTGTTGGTTAACGTTACCGTAAAGTCAAGCCTCGGAGCTTTCGGTGGGTGATCCACGTCACTTCCGGCGTAGTCTTCTTCATCGCTCCCGTCGTTATCCCTGTGATGTCGCTGTTTACTCCGTCGTTTATGTCCTCTATGATGCCTGTCTTTTCTTTTGGATTTCCTTATGTGTGGGTGGCCTTCATCGACAGAACTCTCTCGACTCTCGAAGTAATCTTCATCCATGTGGTTTGACTTACGATGAATCTGCTGCGCTGTGAATTAAATAAACGGTAAAAGCAATTAAATATAAACTTTGTTTTTTTACTGCCGCATGTAGACAGTTTTTATCGCCCTTAAATAGTACCCTCTATTCCTGTTGTGCCATCTTTATCTATACCAGTGCGTTATTACTTCCCTCTACCCTTCAAAACTACCCCAAGCACCTCTAATACAACTATTAAATATTACCCCAGGTCATTTTTCCTCCCACCACCTCTAATAACCTATACATTCCATTGGATCCCAACCATTTATAGTTACCCACTTTTCTTATAAATCCTTCACACACAAAATAAAATTGTTCATCGATCCCCGCTTATAGATTACCCTTTTTACCCCATACTCTTCACACCAATATATATTACCCTCTTTTTCTCTAATTCCTCTACAGTAAGAAATTACCCTCCGCTGCTCTACTCCACCTACCCTTACCCTGTTTTCTCATTCATCCGTCTACACTCATAATTACCATTTCCGTATCCCACCCCTTACCCTTATTGGTTACCCTTTTTTCTCAACCCTCCCCACAACCTACTCTCCAGGTTCTTCCAGGCATCTCTTCGGGGGGGGGGGGGGTGTGCTTTTAGACTTTTAAGGGGGTGCTCTGTCACCCCCCCCCCCCCCGATCGAAATGGAATTTATATAGAAAACATAATTTTACCAGTGTCCGCCCCCCCCCCCCCCTTGGAAAATAATAACCGCCCCCCCCCCCCCCGGAGAAAAAGGTAAGAAATACTACTACTCTCCCAACCTCTCTCTTACCTGCCTCCTCCTCCACCACTGAGGCGCCCTCCCTCTGCTTGTAGATGTGCCAGTAGGCGGCGTACACGATGACGGCGGCGACGACAAAGTAGTAGAGGGTGGCCAGGGTGTAGATCACAGAGGTTGTACTCACACCTGGTCTGTCTTCTGTACAGATTTAGTGGTAGTTGGTAGTTAGTCGGTTTGGTGTGGCTGGCAGTTGGTAGTTAGTCGGTTTAGTGTGGCTGGTAGTTGGTAGTTAGTCGGTTTAGTGGGGCTGGTAGTAAGTCGGTTTAGTGTGGCTGGTAGTTGGTAGTTAGTTGGTTAAGTGTGGTTGGTAGTTGGTCGGTTTAGTGGGGCTGGTAGTAAGTCGGTTTAGTGTGGCTGGTAGTTGGTAGTTAGTTGGTTTAGTGTGGTTGGTAGTTGGTCGGTTTAGTGGGGCTGGTAGTAAGTCGGTTTAGTGTGGCTGGTAGTTGGTAGTTAGTCGGTTTAGTGGGGCTGGTAGTTGGTAGTTAGTCGGTTTAGTGGGGCTGGTAGTTGGTAGTTAGTTGGTTTAGTGGGGCTGGTAGTTGGTAGTTAGTTGGTTTAGTGTGGCTGGTAGTTGGTAGTTAGTCGGTTTATTGTGGTTAGTAGTTAGTCGGTTTAGTGTGGCTGGTAGTTGGTAGTTAGTTGGTTTAGTGTGGCTGGTAGTTGGTAGTTAGTCGGTTTAGTGGGGCTGGTAGTTGGTAGTTAGTTGGTTTAGTGGGGCTGGTAGTTGGTAGTTAGTTGGTTTAGTGGGGCTGGTAGTTGGTAGTTAGTCGGTTTATTGTGGTTAGTAGTTAGTCGGTTTAGTGTGGCTGGTAGTTGGTAGTTAGTTGGTTTAGTGTGGCTGGTAGTTGGTAGTTAGTCGGTTTATTGTGGTTAGTAGTTAGTCGGTTTAGTGTGGCTGGTAGTTGGTAGTTAGTCGATTTAGTGTGGCTGGTAGTTGGTAGTTAGTCGGTTTAGTGTGGCTTGTACTTAATGAATTTAGTGTGGTTGGTAGTTGGTAGTTAGTCGGTTTGGTGTGGCTGGCAGTTGGTAGTTAGTCGGTTTAGTGTGGCTGGTAGTTGGTAGTTAGTCGGTTTAGTGGGGCTGGTAGTAAGTCGGTTTAGTGTGGCTGGTAGTTGGTAGTTAGTTGGTTAAGTGTGGTTGGTAGTTGGTCGGTTTAGTGGGGCTGGTAGTAAGTCGGTTTAGTGTGGCTGGTAGTTGGTAGTTAGTTGGTTTAGTGTGGTTGGTAGTTGGTCGGTTTAGTGGGGCTGGTAGTAAGTCGGTTTAGTGTGGCTGGTAGTTGGTAGTTAGTCGGTTTAGTGGGGCTGGTAGTTGGTAGTTAGTCGGTTTAGTGGGGCTGGTAGTTGGTAGTTAGTTGGTTTAGTGGGGCTGGTAGTTGGTAGTTAGTTGGTTTAGTGTGGCTGGTAGTTGGTAGTTAGTCGGTTTATTGTGGTTAGTAGTTAGTCGGTTTAGTGTGGCTGGTAGTTGGTAGTTAGTTGGTTTAGTGTGGCTGGTAGTTGGTAGTTAGTCGGTTTAGTGGGGCTGGTAGTTGGTAGTTAGTTGGTTTAGTGGGGCTGGTAGTTGGTAGTTAGTTGGTTTAGTGGGGCTGGTAGTTGGTAGTTAGTCGGTTTATTGTGGTTAGTAGTTAGTCGGTTTAGTGTGGCTGGTAGTTGGTAGTTAGTTGGTTTAGTGTGGCTGGTAGTTGGTAGTTAGTCGGTTTATTGTGGTTAGTAGTTAGTCGGTTTAGTGTGGCTGGTAGTTGGTAGTTAGTCGATTTAGTGTGGCTGGTAGTTGGTAGTTAGTCGGTTTAGTGTGGCTTGTACTTAATGAATTTAGTGTGGTTGGTAGTTGGTAGTTAGTCGGTTTAGAGTGGCTGGTAGTTAGTAGTTAGTCGGTAGTTGGTAGCTAGTCGGTTTAGTATGGCTTGTAGTTAGTAGATTTAGTGTGGCTGGTAGTTAGCTGGTTTAGTGTGGCTGGTAGTTGGTAGTTAGTTGGTTTAGAGTTGCTCTTAAAATCGAATAAAAATTCCGACTTCTCTACATATTTATCGTGTGAACTATTATATGAACCATTTTAGTTTGTTTTTATTTTAGACACAATATAACATGAAAGTCAAACTTTCAAACATGCATTTGTGTATTGCTAAATCAACATTATTTCAGGTAGAAAAGGTCGAGTGTCACCCGGTGCGGCACCTAATTTTGTCACCCCCCCCCCCCCCTTTTTTTTTTTTGATGGGACTTGCCAAATTTGCTCTTAAAGGTCTATTTAATTCGAATTAATAATTTATTAAACTAGAATATTTTTTTTCTTTATATATATTGCTATTTTTTTTTGCCTTGGTGTCACCCCCTAAATGGTGTCACCCGGTGCGGTCCCCCCCCCCCCTCTCGTTTCGCCTCTAGGTAGACGTAAAGATTGTTAGAACAACCATGAAAACCAGGTATCTCCTACCAACAGTTCTATACCTTCCCAATCTCATTGGGATGTCAACTTTTCAGATAAATCTTAAACTTACTCATGAGGCAGCGAAAACCGGAGAAACTAGACACGCAGCCGAATGTACAGTCGCCGTTGTCTTTGTGACACACGCTGTAAGCACAGTTAGATCCACACTCTCAGATAAAAGATAAGGAAAAAAGTAAATAATCATCAACTTTACTCTCAGATAAAAGATAAGAAAAAAAGTAAAAAATCATCAACTTTACTCTCAGATAAAAGATAAGAAAAAAAATTAAAAAATCATTAACTTTACTCTCAGATAAAAGATAAGAAAAAAAATTAAAATAATCTACTTTACACTCACAGATAAAAGATAACAAAAAAAAGTAAAAAATCATTAACTTTACTCTCAGAAAAAAAAGATAAGAATTTTTTTTTAAAAATCATCAACTTTACTCTCAGATAAAAGATAAGAATTTTTTTTTAAAAAATCATCAACTTTACTCTCAGATAAAAGATAAGAAAAATAAAATCATCAACTTTACACTCTCAGATAAAAGATAAGAAAAGTAAAAAAATCATCAACTTTACCCGTCAGATAAAAGATAAATAAAAAAGGGAAAAAATCATCAACTTTACTCTCTGATAAAAGATAAGAAAAAAAGTAAAAAAAATCGTCAACTTCACACTCTCAGATAAAAGATAAGAAAAAAAGAAAAAAATCATTAATTTTTTTCTCTCCGATAAAAGAATAGAAAATTTTCAAAAAACATCAACTTTACTCTCAGATAAAAGATAAGAAAAAAAATAAAGCATCATCAATTTTACACTCATATATAAAATTAAAAAATCGTCAACCTTTTATGCTCAGATGAAAAAAATAAGAAAAATATGTGTGTATTTGTGTGTGTTTGTTTCCGTGTGTTACTATTTGTGAATGCGCTAGTGCCTGTGTGTCTGTGTGTTAGTGTCTGTGTATGTTAGTGTATGTTTATGTAAGTGTATGTCAGTGTATTTGTATCTTAGTGTCTGTATGTTAGTGTATGTGTATGTTAGTGCCTGTATGTTGGTGCCTGCCTCTGCCCTTACTTTTCTCGCACTGCGTGCCGTAGAACCCGAGCTGACACGCACTCAGACAAAACCCATCCGTCATCCGGCAATCTGTCAAGTTTAAACATTCGCCGCACTCTGCAACAGAAGACATTGTTGTCAGACACACGCAAAAATAAATAAATAAATAAATAAAAACAGGCTAACTTTACTCCACCTACTAAATTGACATCCATTTGGCGTTTAAATGTTAACCTGAAAAAAATTTGCAAAGATGACGGTAAAAATTGGCATTAATGTAAATTCAAAATAATCATTAGAATATGATTTTTTTTAATTGAAGGACAAATATTATTTACAATGATGTCTTCGTTTAGTTGTGGGGCTAAGGTAATTTAAATGCATTAATGGTGTTAGCATTTTATAGTGACAAGTGTCCTTATTTTATGTTGTCCCTCTTTTTTTTCAAGTTTCAATGGTTCGAATTTTAATGTATTTTCAATACTTCCAAAATTTGCTTATTAGATGCACAGAATAAATACAATAAAGTACATTTTAAAATACTGCACTAAATAATAACAAGCATTAAAAAAACAAAAATCAGGCATCACCTGACACTTAAGCATTTCTTTACATTTGGAACTCAACTTTTGATTTTACTAGTACTAGGTTCAGTACTTTCAAAAAAATAATATCTTAAATAAAGTAACATGTTTTAACTCATATAATTTATAAGCATGTAATATTTTGTCATTTACATCCGGTTCAAACAGAAATAGCCTTAATATATTGAATAATTAAAGAAAAAAAACAATAGTGAAATTAAATTTAATTTCCCATTGAATGGTAGTAGCCTATCATGTTTCAATCATTCATAAAATACCAAATACCTATGATAACACACAATTTTCAATATCTCACAAAAACACCCAAATATTTTTACACCATTTATTCCTCCAGATTTAAAATAGTAAAATCACATAGACTAGGCAATAAATTTGAGTCAGTCATCATCATCTCCTGGTTTGTAATCCGGATCATCATCGTCATCATCATCATCTTCTAAGTCTAGTTCTCCCATATCGTCAAATAACGATTCATCCACTTCCAGTGTGTCTCCCTCTGCTTGCAAAAATTTAACATCAGAGTTATAAAGAGACTGATCAGCCATAAACAGTTCTTTAACTGTTGGTTTTTTAGATGAACCATCTGAAAGGCCTTTTAACCTTCTCATCTCAGCCCTTTCTGCATCAAACTTTGATTTCCAAGCCATAAATGACTCAACATTGACTCTTGTACCCTCAAAGCGTTTTCTTTCAGCCTCTTCATCTGACTTCTTTTTTCTTTCAGCTGCTTCTTCTTCATCTTTGGCTGCTTGTTCCATC